TAATAACCGAGCTGGGTGTAAAACACGGAAGACCGTCCTTCCTTCTTGGCAATTTGTCCAAGGTCTTATCGCTCCTGCCGAGAATGTGAATTGCAGAAAACCCAGAGGGCTATCTTATGTCACCAGACTGGCGCTGAACATGTTTGCATGTTCTGCCCTGCCAGATGTTCCGTCTGCTCTTAATCAGCAACTTAGCAGATATCTGTAACAGCTTCAAAAGTTCTTCCCCAAAATGTTGTTCTCACTGAGTGCGTACCGAGTGCATCGGAGGATCAGATTAGATCTTGGTATGCAGGAAGGCGAAATAATTTCTTTTTGGGTAGTGGAAATTCAGAAGACTGATGAATGCAAAAATGTTGTGTATGTCTAAATGGGAGATTCCCAGTTGAGGCTGTGGGCCCTTTATATCAAAGCGGTGAAGACTTTTGATTCTGCAAATAAAAACGCAGCATTGAACCCCTGGCCAACGTATTCCAGTAGTCCGTGCTCATAGAGGCCAACCAACTGCGCAAGGAAGCCCAAGGTTTCCCAGCAGATGGCTTGCAGAGGCTGCCATCAAGGTTACGAACCACCGATGATCAAGACTCCCATAAATGTCTCCAATTGGTAGCCAACAACACATTCCAGGGGGAAGGGATTATTTTTTATTCATATCCCACCTTGGTAGTACAGTGGTTTAAAGCACCCTGTTATTAACACAGCTGCCTGCAATTACTGCAGGTTCGAATCTTACCAGGCTCAAGGTTGACTCAGCCTTCCATCTTTTCTAAGGTAGGTTAAATGAGGACCCAGTTTGTGGGGGCAATAAGCTGACTTCGTATAAATATACAAAAGTATGAAGGCTATTGCTTAATGTATTGTAAGCCGCCCTGAGTCTCCGGAGAAGGGCGGCATATAAATCAAATTAAAAAAAAAATTTTTTTATAAACAACTCAAGGCCTTGGTAGTACAGTGGTCTAAAGCACCCTGTTATTAAGACCAGCTGCCTGCAATTACTGCAGGTTCGAATCTTGCCAGGCTCAAGGTTGACTCAGCCTTCCATCCTTTCTAAGGTAGGTAAATTGAGGACCCAGTTTGTGGGGGCAATAAACTGACTTTGTATAAATATACAAAAGGATGAAGGCTATTGCTTAGCGCATTGTAAGCCGCCCTGAGTCTCCAGAGGGCGGCATATAAATCAATTTTTTTTTTAAAAAAGCATCTTATATCCTTCCTCCTCTTATTATCTCCACAACAATTATCCTGTGAGTTGGGCTGAGAGAGAGGAATTGTTCCAGGGTCACCCAGCTTGCTTTCATCGCTAAGGTGGGACTAGAACTCACGGTCTCCCAGTTTCTCTCCTTGTGCCTTACTTACTAGACCAAACTATTGTGCAAAAGATTCACATCAACCCTTTTGTCAGTTCCAATTTTTTCTGGTTCTAGTATTTTTTTTATTTTTTGGGGGGAAAGGAAAATACTAACAGAAACAGAAAATACTTCTGTTTTTATTTTGGGAACTTTATAATTCCACAGTTCTATTAAAGTATTTATTCCCTAATTTTAGAATAAAACAATTCCCTCGTCCACTTTGCCATGGACGGGTAATAAGATGTGCTTTTTGAAGAGTGAAAAGCAGAGAAGCTAAAACGTGTACAGGTAGTCCTCGACTTACGACCACAATTGAGCCCAAAGTTTCTGCTGTTGACATTTGTTAAGGGAGTTTTGCCCCTTTTTACGACCTTTCCGGCCTCAGTCATTAAGTGAATCACTACAGTTGATAGGTTAGTAGCTCGGTTGTTAAATGAATCCAGCTTCCCCATTGACTTGGCGTGTCAGAAGGTCGCAAAAAGGGGTCACGTGACCCAGGGATACAGCAACGGTCATAAATCTGAACCCATTGCCAAGCCTCTGAATCTTGATCACATGATCCTGAGAATGCCGCGAAAGTCGTAACTGTGAAAAACGGTCATTGATTGCTTTTTTCAGTGCCGTTGTGAGCTTGAACGGTCACTAAACAAACTGTTGTAAGTCAAGGACTGCCTGTATATACTGCCCTTCCCCCATTCTAGAGACCTCTGATGGCGACATGACAAATGCAGACATCCATCCATTCATCCAGGAAATGTGAAATGTAAAATTTGTTACTACCGGTTCTGTGGGCGTGTCTTGGTGGGGGGAGGGGGAAATGTGATTGGGTGGGTGTGGCCAACTTAAAAAAAAAAACACTTCAAAGCATTTTTTCTACAACCTCTTCGGCCGAAGAGGTTGCAAAAAAAAATGCTTTGAAAAGCCTCTGACGATCCCAGATGAGCCGCGCGATCATCAGAGGCTTTTTTTTTTTACTTTTAAAAGCATTTTTTCGGCGGAAGAGGTTGTAGAAAAAATGCTTTTAAAAGAAAAAAAAAGCCTCTGATGATCATGCAGCTCAGCTGGGGGGCCGCAGGGATTTTTGCTACCGGTTCTCTGAACTACCTACCACCATCGCTACCGGATCAGGCGATCCGGTCCGAACCGGGAGCATTTCACCCCTGCATTCATCCAAAGCGACTGATATTTCTATAAACCTGGCCGTAGGGGTGAACTGTATTAATCTAGGGTGGCGAAAATCCAGCGGAGGTCCATGGCGCCTTTCCTGAGTAACCAATTTTATCGAAAGGCATAAACTTAACCTTTGCGTCTCCTTGCCTCCAGCTCTTCAGTTAATAGATTTGCACCTTGCTGTACACAATACACATCCTGCCTGTTCCAATTACTCACATCACTTCACAGGGCCATCCTGCGAGGGTAAACTCTATTAAAAGATTTAATATAATTTTTAGCAGCTGATACACGATTTGGTAGCGGTGGCCTTTGCATCCCATTTGGTAACTCAGCATGATGGCTGAGCCCTGAATTATGATGGATTACAGTTGGGTGCCACTTCATCCCAAAAGGAGCCCTCCCCTTCCTTCTCCCGCGCCCAAAGCTAGCTAGTTTTAAAATGAGCAAGGGGGCTCAGTAAAATTCAGTACAACAGTGCACTGCTCGTAATAAAAAGCATATTTTTCAAGACACGCCAGATGCTCTTTCAGCCACTAGGTTAAGCCACAATTTAACTGTGTTGCAAAATCATAAACCACAGTTTCCAAACAACAGTGGATGTGTTTCCGTTGTGCAATAAGATGAAACTAACTATGGTCCATTATGGTTTATTACATGCTACGATGGCTGGGTTGAAACACAACTAGACAACCCGTGATCCGTTGGGTCATATTTTCTTATCAGATTCCTGAATGCCTTCAACAATGGTAGAGCCAGGGGTGAAATTCAGCAGGTTCTGGAGAACCGGTAGTGGAAATTTTGAGTAGTTCAGAGAACCAGCAAATACCACCTCTGGTTGGCCCCAGAGTGGGGTGGGAATGGAGATTTTGCAATATCCTTCCCCTGGAGTTGGGTAGGAATGGGGATTTTAAAATATCCTTCCCCATCACGGCTATAGAGCACTGCACACCAGAACAACTAGACCCAAGAAGAGTTTTTCCCCGAATGCCATCACTCTGCTTAACAACTAATTCCCACACTGTCAAATAATTTACTAAGACTGTATTACTATTATTCTTCTCTACCTTACTAGTATCTATCTCTTCCCACTTATGACTATAACCATGTTGCTTGTATCTCTACGATTTATATTGTTTTATTGTTTCCTAGTACGATTTGATAGCTTATTAGTAACCTTGACTATCACTAAGTGTTGTATCTTTTTATTCTCGATGAATGTATTTTATTCTCCTTATGTACAGAGAGCATATGCACCACAAATTCCTTGTGTGTCCAATCACACTTGGCCAATAAAGAATTCTATTCTATTCTATTCTATTCTATTCTATTCTATTCTATTCTATTCATTTTCTATTCTATTCTATTCTATTCTATTTATTCTATTCTATTCCATTCCATTCCATTCTACTTACTCTACTTCTACCTACCTACCCTACTTATTCTATTTCTCTAGTCCTTCAGGAGTAGGGCGGTATATAAATCAAATAAACTAAACTATTCTATTCTATTCTATTCTATTTATTCTATTCCATTTTACCCTCTATTCTATTCTACTTCTACTCTACCCTACTATATTTAATTCTATTCCATTTCTACCCTTTATTCTATTCTATTCCATTTCTAACTCTATTCTATTCTATTCTATTTCTATTCTATTTTCTATTCTATTCTTTACTCTATCTACTTCTACCCTACCCTAATACCCTACTACTATATCTATTCTATTCTAGTCCTTCAGGAGTAGGGCGGTATATAAATCAAATAAACTAAACTATTTCTATTCTATTCTATTCCATTTCTACCCTCTATTCTATTCTATTTACTTCTACTCTACCCTACTATATTCTATTCTATTCCATTTCTACCCTTTATTCTTTCTATTCATTTCTACCCTCTATTCTATTCCTAGATTCTATTCTATTCTATTCTATTCTATTCTATCTACTCTACTTCTACCCTATCCTACCCTACTATATTTATTTTTATTCTAGTCCTTCAGGAGTAGGGCGGTATATAAATCAAATAAACTATTCTATTCTATTCTATTCTATTCTATTCTATTCTATTCTATTCTATTCCATTTTACTTTATTCTATTCTGCTGTTCTGTTCTGTTGTTGTTCTGTTCTGTTCGGGAAGCCCTGGTCTATTCGACTGCAGGCTGAGCGCAACTGAGGTCGACGCCGGGTCACTCCATCCTCCTCCACCGTTTCCCGGCCGCGCTCAGCTGAGCGCTTCCGATCTGGCGCGTCCCAAACCTTTACATCGGGACTAAAAAAAATATAATCGTGCCGGGTTAAGGTTTGCAAGAGGCCGGCAGGCAGGCAGGCAGGCGCGCCCAAGCCTTGGCCAAACCCCGCCGGCGGCCGTCGAAGCGAAGGGGCTCGGCTGCAAGGCGCCCTTTGTTCCAGTTGTTTTGGGCGCTCGGCTCTGCCGTTTGGCCAGGACGCGGCGCGCCAAAACGCTCCGCCCGCGCCTCGCCTTCTCCTCCCCGGGAGCGGCTGGCTTCGTCGGAAGGCGGAGCCCTGACGCGGCTTCTCAAGTCCCAGCAAAAGGGACGACGGGGCGGCCTAGGCCCGCCGAGCCGCTCTCGCCCGCATGGACCAGAACCGGGCGCCGTATTGGTTCCGCCGCAGGAGATCTCCGCCACGCGCGCAGCCCCGCCGGTGAGTTTTGCAGAAGGGCCGGAGAGGTTGCAAAAGGGCCCTTCGTTCCCCGGGGAGATCGCAGTCTCCCCAACTGTCCGGGGCTCCCTACCTCCCTGGGGCTTCTGGGGTCGGGGTGGGTGAAATGGGGGGGGGTCTTCCACGTTGCCCCGGTCTGTGGTCGCCTTTCTGTCTCCCAACAAGTCGCTCTTGCCTGGAGTGGGTTTCGCTTTCGCTTTCGCTTTGTTGGGGGTTCTTCCAAATCACTATTTAAAGTCGGGGTGGGGTTGACTGGGTCCTGGTCCTGGGGTGGCCGCGGAGGATGGCTTGGCTGCCAGCCGGCATTATTATTATTGTTGTTGTTGTTGTTGCCGGCATTATTATTATTATTGTTGTTGTTGTTGGCATTATTATTATTGTTGTTGTTGTTGTTGCCGGCATTATTATTATTATTGTTGTTGTTGTTGGCATTATTATTATTGTTGTTGTTGTTGTTGCCGGCATTATTATTATTGTTGTTGTTGCCGCATTATTATTGTTGTTGTTGTTGTTGCCGGCATTATTATTATTGTTGTTGTTGTTGTTGCGGCATTATTATTGTTGTTGTTGTTGTTGCGGCATTATTATTATTATTATTATTATTATTATTATTATTGCGGCATTATTATTATTATTGTTGTTGTTGTTGCCGGCATTATTATTATTATTGTTGTTGTTGTTGTTGCCGGCATTATTATAATTGTTGTTGCCGGCATTATTATTATTGTTGTTGTTGTTGTTGCCGGCATTATTGTTGTTGTTGTTGTTGTTGCCGGCATTGTTATTATTATTGTTGTTGTTGCCGGCATTATTATTGTTGTTGTTCTTGTTGTTGTTGTTGTTGTAAGGTCCCAAAATACACTTGAGTCACCAGTATAAAGATTAACACAGTTGGAAGGGACCTTATAGGTCATCTAGTCCAACCTCCCTCCGATCAAGCAGGAGACCCTACACAATTTCTGACAAATGGCAGCCCAATCTTTTCTTGAAACTCACAGTCCACTATTTGAGCGGACAGCCCGCTTTTTTCACATTATGTTCACTTATTTTTTTTCACAAAATAGTGGACATTTTTTTTTATTCAAAACTTGGTATATTTTTTTAAATATTTCTCAACGTTGTACTGAAATTAAAGAATGATTCCTTAAACACAAAGAATTGATCAAAGCTGCGCGGTCCAATAAAAAATGCACACGACAGCAAAGTAAAATGTAATTTAATATTTTACATATTATTATAATATATTTGATGTTTTGAATTTTAAGTAAAGTTTTGAAGTGATTATTTTAATACGTGTTAAAATGTTTGTAAGAAAATATATAATTTAATTGTAATTTTTTTTTATTTTTTTACTACTTAACACACACACACACACACACACACACACACACACACACACACCCCACTTGTCCGCTATTTTCTGGAAGCAGACCTGGCAACCCTACTTGAAAGTCTAAAAGTTTTTAAAAGTTTTAAAAGGTTAGAGACTGGGATCTTGTGGGGTTCATTGCATATGATTGCATACCGAACCGGACTTTTTGGGGAGGACAAGCTTGCTTGGTTGCAAGTTTTATTAGGAAATACACACCTTCTTGCTCAGTGTATTATTGAGTTTATTGTGACCTCAGAAGGATGTCATAGTTTTTGCTGGTTATTGATTCTTAAAGAGGGGAGGAGCTGTTGAAAACAAGTTTCTAAGGGTGCCTTCACTCATGTGGCATGTACCCTGGGGCATGTCTCTACAAGTTTTCTACTCAGATCTTGGTGGAATGCAAGCTTCTCCTTGCCTGGCTTGTAGAGTGAGCAAGAAATCTTGACCCCCCGCAGGTTGTCCGTATATGGTGAAAGAAGATCATCTAGAGGTAGCCAGATATTTGAATGAGTAGAATGGCAGGATTTATATACCGGTCATCGTCTTAATTTATCATGGTTTATTAAACAACTAGATTCATACAGTATAGTGGACTAAGTAGAGAACCAGATTGGGGAAGTGGTTCAGGTATCAGGCTAGAGAGGATGCGAATTCTAGTCCTGCTTTAGAATGGGGAGCTAGCTTAGGCCGGTCACTTTCTCCTAGCCCTAGGAAGAAGGCAACAATTAAATACTACCCAAAAAAATTGCCAAGAAAATTGTAAGCACTAATCCAGGCCATTTGCCTGAAATAAAAGCTGACTTTTATCCCCCCCTCCCCAATTAATAATAACAAACAATCATAGGTTCGCATCTCATTGTTAATAAGCCAAGGTTATTTTGTTTAGAGTGATTTATCATTGTGGCTAGTACTGTGGTTTTTCCCTATCCTTCTTTCCGGATGATGCAGAGTTCAATTGATATTTCCTTCTCACCATTTTTTTCAGACGCTTTTTGACTTTGCTAACTTTTCCCCCCCCCAGTTTAGACACTGAATATAGCCTGGCCAGCAACAATAGACATCATTCATCGTATTTGGACCCTTGGATTGTGAGTCTTCTGTTGGAGTACAAAGAATCCGTGATCAAAACAGATGGACAGCTTGGACATGTCCTGAAGGTGGACTTTCAAACTTTATTTATTTATGTTGTCCTTCCTCTCCCTTACTCAACTCTAGGAATGCAGATCTGTCCTGCATATCTTTGCTTTGTTAGTTTGTTTTTACTTTGCAACAGACTAGGCCAGTGATGGCTAACCTTTTTGCCGTTGCGTGCCAAAAGCGGAGGGGTCACACATGCGTGTGCTCACACCCATAATTCAATGTGCCCCCCCACACACACATTCTGAAGTCGGCAAATGGGCTGTTTCCGATCTCCAGAGGGCCCCCGGGTGTGGGAGTGGGAAAGGCCATTTTCACCCTCCCCAGGCTCCTAGAAAGCCTCTGGAGCCTGGGGAGAGCAAAAAATGGGACTTCCAGACCCACCGGAAGTCAGCAAATGGGCCGTTTCCAGCCTCCGGAGGGCCTCCGGGTGGGTAGGGAAGGCCATTTTCGCCTTCCCCAGGCTCCTAGAAAGGCTCCAGTGGATCTGGAAGACTCAAAAATCAGCTGGCTGGCACGCACATGTACACCGGAGTTGAGCTAGGACAACCCTCGTGTGCCCACTGATATGGCTCCGTGTGCCACCTGTGGCACACGTGCCATAGGTTCGTCATCACGGGACTAGGCACAGTTCAGAGCAATAATAGGCTTAACGTTTGGAATGTTGAGAGTGTGTCTTGCACACAACTACAAAAATTGCATAAGGAAGGTTTTTTTTTCATTATAAAATGACTGCTGTCATTGGCCTGGTTAATTGCAAAATACAGGAACCTGGTATCTTATTTCCTGCTGCTTCCTCAACAGCAGTTTTTCTAGAGCTGGCTGGGGAATTCTGGGAGTTGGTCCACACATCTTAAAGTTGCTGGAATTGAGAAACATTGCTGTAGATATCCAGGGAGCTTCCTTTTCTAGCTTAGCACCATGTTCTTTTTTTCTGTGGAAAAAACAGCAACGCCTCTAAACAAAACTCCAGATTGCACTGGGCTATCACTTCCATCTTCTAATAGTTATTATGGAGTCCCCATGAAGCATCCTGGTTGTTAAAGATTGCAAAACGTCTTTTCTTTCTTCTGGGCTTGGTTCCAGTGCTTCTTTTTCTGTTTTAAACTAAGACAGACAGATAGAAGAACCCAATATACAGCCCAAAGAACTATCTGCAGATATTGTAGTGTCTGTGATATCCTTTGGCCCATCGCTGCTTTACACTGATGGAGAATAGTGGGCCCACATTACCCAAAAAAATTGGTTTCCAAATATGTTGATTATGGTGTAAATTTTTTTGCCTCTTCTCCAGGTTTTGAATGAACCAAGGGTTTACCAAGATGCTGAACCAGAAACAATTCTACATATTGGAGATGGACTTCACTATATTGAAGTGGTGGTTGCGGGCAAAGCTGCTAAAATGTCAAAACAGTAAATTTTACTTTGAATTTATTTTGGATTACAATTCAGTATATGGATTTTTATGGCATCCAAAATTTATGTTTCTCTTCCATGAACTATATAATTTTACAAGACCTCTGTATTGCTAGGATCAGAATTTATTGCAATTCATAATTTCATTTTATGATTATTTTTTAAAAAATAATTTAAATTTGAATATTTTACATTTTAAAACCAAACATAATAGCAAAAGAAATCAAGAGACAAAAACAAAAAACAAAAACACGCACATCAGACGTTAAAATAGAATACTAACAACAGATATATACAATTTTACAACTTTCTGCATCGACTTTTGTCTTTACTCTTAGCTTTTATCCTCCCACTCCTTCTCTTTATTTTTAAATATTCATAATTAACTGTTTTGTTAGCAGGATCATTATTTACATTTATATCCAGTATGTTAATATCAAATTTCACTTTATATTCTTATTTCTTAATTTGATTTCTGTTTTCTAACCATGTATAAAACCTGTTCCACACTTTATAATAAAACAAGTTTTATGATTTATGGTGAGACCATGATCTTTGACATCTATGCCGCTTCGAGCTTAATAGAGAACTTCAAGTAATAATATAATGTATGCTTTCATTCACACCCTATTAATACCCTAGAAAATTTTAATCTCTGTATTTGTAAATCCTTTATTTACTCATTTTTTTCTACTCCTTTATTCCTTTTATTCTCTTTCCGTTTTCGTTTACATGTTTCCACTAAAATGTCTGATAAATGTTAAATATTTGATAAACAGGTAGTCCTTGACTTATGACCACAGGTGAGCCCAAATTTTATGTTGCTAAATAAGACAGTTGTTAAGTGAGTTTTGCCCCATTTTGCCACAGTTGTTAAGTGAGTTACTGCAGTTGTTAAGTGAATCATGTCATTAAGTGAATCTGGCTTCCCTCATTGACTTTGATGTTATCATGGGGATGCTGCTATGGTCATGAGTGTGGAAAAACCAGTCGAATTACTTTTTGCAGTGCCATTATAACTTCAGACAATCAATAAATGAATTTTATTGTAAGTCAAGGACTATTTGTAATATATCATCCATAAGGATTAATTTAGAAATTTTGTGCTTCTACATAAATTAGCATTAGATCAACCCCCCCACCCCCCATCGGATTTTATCATTCGTTTGTAACAAAATATGAGGGATTATGCCAATCTTCTAGGGTTTTGATAATCCCGTATCCAAAATTTGTTACATCTCTATCGGGGAGCTATATTTGAACTAGTATTTTGGATTCTGGAACTAACGGTTATGTTTTCTTTTAAAGTTGCCAACTTTTTACATGCAGTTTCAAAGTTATCTTGTCTTCGGAAAATCTATTCTACAAGATGGTCAAAACAATTTACGAGGGGGGGGGGCTGTAATCCTTTTTTATATGTGCTGACATAGGAAGTTAGGCTGTGAGAATATATGTTGATAAAAATGGATTCCCAGCACTCTAAAGAAGCTTGTGGATCTTTTAAAATTGTGTACAGAATCCTTCTTTTTGCAGATCAATATGGAAAAATATCAGCCTTAGCTGTAGGAGGCAGTTTGATACTTTTCAGATTTGCCAATACATTTCTTCCTTTCTATTTTTCAGATCTATGGCTCAGAATGGATTGTCTGGTATTATTGGCCAGTTCATCGTCTTGCAGAATTATAGAGTCAATTTTAAAAGAGCAGCTGAAATGGTAAGGTGCACAAAATGCTCTTATTGTAGTGTTTTCTTTGGAAGAGCACATGCTGATAACGCAGTTTGACCCTCCGAGGATATGACATGAAATTTATTTATTTAGAAAATTTATATTATAGCGCCTACTCGCACATGACGAATCAAGGCAAATTACAGGACATAAAAGCACAATATAAAAGAAATAAAAATAATAAATAATAAAATAATGTCATGTACTCCTCGACTTACGATCACAATTGGGACCAGAATTTATGTTGCTAAGCAAGTTGTTAAGTGAGCCGGGCCCAATTTTAAGATTTTTTTTTTTTGCCATGGTTGTTAAGCGAATCTTGAGTCATTAAGTGAATCCAATGTCCTCCATTGACTGCTTGTCAGAAGCTAGCTGGGCAGCTCACATGTGGCGATAATGTGAATTCAGGACACTGCAACTATTCTAAATACAAGCCAATTCCAAGCACCTGAATTTTGATCACGTAACTGTGTGAACGCTGTCTCTGTTGTAATGCGAGGACTGGTTGTAAGTCACTTTTTTCAGGGCCATAGATAACTTCAAATAGTCGCTAAATGAATTGGTTGTAAGTCGAGGACTATCTGTACTGTCCTGATGACATGTTTAAATGCCTATATAGGAAATAGGAATTCAAGATGAGTTTATTGCAGCATATAATTAAGAGAAAGAAAGAGTGATAAAGGCTGAAATCATACAATTTACTAACTCAAACTAGTGTTTTTTTTTTTAAATAACAGAGGTTTTTAAAAGTTGCTAAGCACTTTTCCTGTACTGATGATAATATTTATCATTGGAGTGGCATATCATTTAAATTTAAGAAGCATTCAATTGTAATGATTACCCTGCAATTCTGTTGAATTTCCATTTCTCCCTTTCTATCAAGTTACAAATTAAAATTCGCTATCAATTTTTGGAAATCACTGGAGGGGCTTAATTATGGCAACCAGACTTTAAAAAAAATAATAAAGAAAAAGGGTCAGACCTGAAGGAGTTTCATAAGGAAAAAAAATAGGTTTGTTTCTTTATTTATTAAATTTATATCCCACTTGATTTTAGCTTGGTCCCAACCCTGTGGCCCTTTTGTGCCTGGGGTCCTGGATGTGGGATAGAGCTCATTTTCTGTCAGTTATCGAGGACATTTTTATGATTCTCAGACTGTTGTGTTTTTGACTTAACAGTGATCGTGTTTGTGTGTGTATGTAAAACAATCCTTTATGTCCGAAAGCTGTCCTTTAGATGTATTTACATATTGATTTATATATTGATTTACAGCTGTCCTGTAGATTTATTTACATTTCAGATAACGGTCGCTAAAGGAGGCAGTTGCTAAACGAGGACTCCCTGTATGAAAATTCCCTCCCTCCCCTACCACAATATTTGGTTGTCGGTTAAATTTATTTGCTGCCTATCTCACAATGTGATGGTGATAGCCTGCAAAATATTACTTATTTATTTAGCAAGCCTGTAAAATATCTCTGATAAAGAAACGGTGCCATCTTTGACCAAATTATTTGAGGCTTTTCTTTTTTTTTTCCTCCTTAGTTTCATTGGCAATTTGCCCTATTTTTGAATCTTGACAGATACTCCCTGCCACAGCAAGTCACTTTATTCTTTAAAATGGATAAAATAATTTATCCCCTGTGTTTTTGGGGGAAGGGAAGGGAATCTACTCATTTTGAGGTCTCCCCCAAAGTAGGCCTGTTGCCAGGCGGAATATATGTATCCTTAAACGTGCAATCTCCGATGTTTTAACTCGCCAGTGGTTTCTGGCTTGAAATGTAGCCTCTCTGAGGGAACATCTCGGCCGCCATTAAATCCTGCTTAGCAGCCATAAAAATATTCCTCCTTAAAGGGAGGAAAAGGAGGACAAAGCAGACCCACACAAAACCCACTGCTGTTTTTCTTCCTCCCTTCCAGTGGGGTTTTTGTGAGTTTCAGGGACACCATTTCCCTCCAAGGGAAAACTTTGGATATCCTGGAAAGCCTCTTTGCCTTTCAAAATGGGTGGAAACTAATCAAGGAGAGAAGCAACTTAGAACCAAGGAGAAATTTCCTGACAGTTAGAACGATTAATCAGTGGAACGACTTGCCACAAGAAGTTGTGAATGCTCCAACACTGGAAGTTTTTAAGAAGATGTTGTATAACCATTTGTCTGAAGTGGTGTAGGGTTTCCTGCCTAAGCAGGGGGTTGGACTAGAAGACCTCCAAGGTCCCTTCCAACTCTTATTCTATTCTATTCTATTCTATTCTATTCTATTCTATTCTATTCTACTATTCTATTCTATTCTATTCTATTCTATTCTATTCTATCTACTCTACTCTACTCTACTCTACTCTACTCTACTCTACTCTACTCTACTCTACTCTACTCGCCACAACCAGTCTCGTGGGCCTTTTATTGTTTTATTTTTTTACTGCCAGAGAGAGAGGAAGGGGCTTCACTGGGAAGGGGGAGCCCCTAAATGTGGGAACGGGTTGCATCATTTGAAGGGGTCGCTTTTCCAAGCATCAAAATGTCTCCAGTTGATTTTTCTTGCTTCTTTCCCTGATTGAAGGCAACGGAGAGAGAAGCCCCCTTGCCGTTTGCAGTTTAGGTTCATCTTTTTGGGGGTGGGGGTGGCATAATAAGTTTAAAGCATCTCATTTGGGTGCCTTCCACTTCTCGAATAATTCTTCCATTTCTTCAGGTCTGGCTCAGGAATTCTGAGAGTCCACGGATCCTCAAATTGCCATAGTAGCTCAACTCCTGCTTTAGGGCATTTGTAATCTTCATTTCTGTTTGAAAAGTCTCCTAATTTGATCCTTGACACGTCTTTGTATAAAGATGGATTGGGCTGAGAAGCAAGGACTGGCCCAGGGATGCTATTCAGCAGGTTCTGACAGATTCTGGAGAACTGGTAGCGGAAATTTTGAGTAGTTCAGAGAACTGGCAAATACCACCTCTAGCTGGCCCCAGAGTGGGGCGGGAATGGAGATACTGCAATATCCTTCCCTCAGGAGTGGGGTGGGAGTGGGGACTTTGCAGTATCCTTCCCCCAGGAGTGGGGAGGGAATGGAGATTTTGCAATATCCTTCCCCCAGGAGTGGGGACGAAATGGAGATTTTGCAGTATCCTTCCTCCAGGAGTGGGATGGGAATGGAGATTTTGCAGTATCCTTCCCACAGGAGTGGGGAGGGAATGGAGATTTTGCAGTATCCTTCCCCTGCCATGTCCACCAAGCCATGCCATGCCCACCAAGCCATGCCTACAGAACCGGTAGTAAAAAAAATTGAATTCCACCACTAGACTGGCCCGAAGTCACCCAGGCAGCTTTGTATCCAAGTGGGGATTTGAACCCTGAGTTCAAATCCCACCCTTTTAACCATCAATATATTCTGGATCTTGAATTCCACACATCTGATGGAGGGCACCTCAGTTGGAGAAGCGTGCTTGGGTGGCTTTTATCACAGGCCATGCTGCTTTCTCCCCATCATCGAGATCACGTAGGGTCTGATATTTCTCCTTGAGCATCGTTGACTGTGCTTGTTTTTTTTCACTCTTTTCAGGAAGATTGTCGATTTTACCTCACCCTTGAGTGTTTCCAGGTCATGTCCATGAAGAGAGAGGGGAAGAGTCTGCAAAATTGGTGAGACCCACAAGAACACTGATCTCCATTGTGTAGTTGGGGTACCTACTGGGAAGAAGACGGGGGCCTAAACTCAAACCCTGAAGATCACAGAATTAATTGTCTGCCTCCCATCTAAGCATGCATCCCGTTTTAATCAGGGTTAGGAAATTTAACAGAATGAATTCTTTATAAACACTTGACTGCAGTTCAATACCTGCAGTTATCTGTCATTGACTGTCCAACTCTTGCTGTAGAGTTGAGCAGACTTACACATTTAAAAATAGTCAAGTTTTGGAAAGAGGAAGGGTTAAACATTACAGCAGCCCTTTTGATTTTCAAAAAGCTAAGTTCGGTGAGATTTGATATTTGGATTAAAGATCACACACCGGTCCCAACGCTGTCGATTAGAGATTGGAAATATGTTCTGCCAGAAGACGGCATTTCTGTTTCTACAACATAGATGTGTCCATGGTCACCAACAGCTGACTTGAACTTGAGGGGGAATTGACTAGCATCTTTACCTAGGGATTAAAATGGAAGAACTACGTCCTCAAGAGAACTATTCTTTTTGTCATTATCTGATTCAGTTGATTTTTATAATGACACTGAACAACCCATAATCCGCTGGGTAGTAGTTTCAGAGATATTTCCTTACCAGATTCCTCAAATCAATGGCAGAGCTTTTGATGTACTGCCTTCACTGGAAAAGCTGGGATGCATTCAGAGATGTATCTGAAGATATCCCATGTTGAAGTATAGAGCGCAGCAAAACATCAGCACAGGAAATGTTTTATGACATTGGATATTATGTCATAAACTGATTTATAATAATGTTTATGTCATAAAATGTTTACCAAGTTGATGAGATGCTTGAGGTTCTACATATGTCAACAATCAGCTTCTGTTTCACTGACCAACTGATTGGATGTAGTTTTATTACATGAGTTTTTCTACTGTGATAAAAAACTGAGGATGTTAAATGTCTTTTTGTATAGCAATCGGGAGCTGTCAGTCATACAAAAGATAAAGGACCTATGGCAGTAAGTATGTTGATTCTGTTCTATGAGCAATCTTAAAACTAGCAGTTTCAAATTCAGATATGTTCATAGCAACACTATAAACTTTGTAAAATCTTCCTATGTATCCTAGAATATTCCATATTCTTCTCACATAAATTTCAACACATAATACAAGGAAGAGACTTTAACTTTTTATTGTATTTGACCTCATTATGCATTATGTGAATGGCAGCCTGCCTTCTCATACTTGAAAAGCAGTTGGACATTTTCTTATTGTGGTATTAATAATAATTAATGGATAATTAATGAATAAGTCAATAATAAGCAGGATAGTCCTTGGTTCCAGACATTACAGATTCGTTAACCCGCTTTCCATTTCCACAAGAAACGCAACATTAGCTGACCCACCAAAACTACTTTAGTTCCATTCTCATGACAAATTAGTAATAACATCATAATTTAGGACTCATAATTGCTGTTTGGAATGCTGTTCTCATTTTGATTAAAAAGGAAAATAAAGGATTCCCCCCCCACGCCCATCTAGCACAATTTACAAGTCAAGATATGGTTTAGCTCTAAGAAGCACCTGGCTATAATTAGTAAATTGTGATTTTAGGGCATAACTTAGTGTAAAACCACAGCCAAACTTCATTTATTTGGTAAGAACTTGGTTTAAACATAGTTTAAAGCAGGCGTATCCAACCTGCAGGCCACAGTCCATCTGTGGCCCAGGACAGCTAATAACGTAGTCCCACAACAAAAATATTTAAAAAATAAAGGAAGTTTGTTATTTATGTACATAAGCTATATTATATATTTTATATGCAGCCTAAGACAATTCCTCTTCACTTAGTTTGGCCAACAAGCCAAAAAGTTGGCTGCCCATGGCTTAAAGCAAAGTACAAAATTAGTCAGCTAATTGATAGCTTGTGTTGGCAGTTGAAATGTACCTTGATGTTCAGAGTTGGTCCTCTTGACCTGGGTTCCTTCACGTCTCTCCTCCACGTACCATTTTTATTTGTTTATGCTTATATGAGGTGATGATGGATACCCATCCCGATGAGCCACCATTGAGGAGAGAACAGAAACATCTCAAAAAGTTACATTCTTGGAAGGTTGAGATTGGGGTAGAAGAAGCTTGGGAGAAATAAAAAGAAATGCGTGTAGAGAGATTCATGATGTAAACCAAACAAGAGGTCTGAAGGCTTGACAAGTTACTGTCACGCTTAACTCTTGATGCTGTTTGATTATGTATTTCAGGAAAGGTTTTGCGACGCAGATGTGGTTCAACTCAGGTATGCTAGCTTAAATATTGGCAGCTTTTTAAATGAAATTTAGTGAAAAGTGGGGTCAGTATTAAGTGGGTTCCTCTGATTTTCTATGTTATATTTCATTGTGGAACAAATCTTACTTGTGTTTTATACCCCCCAATAGAGAATTCACTCAGGCCACTTAAAGGCTAAAACATTTATAACACAACTCCTTCCTAAAGTTGTATTTTCTTCATAGCATAACTTTTTCACCTTGTGAGATAGATTCAAAAGATGTTTACCTTTAGGCCAGAATAGATACAAAAACAATGGCAATCATCATCATCATCTTTTAATGATCCCATAATCCCTTGAGGGGTGGAGTCTGGGCAACTGAATGGAGCTGAGTGATTACTGGCCGGATGCCCTTCCTATTGCCAATGCGGAGTCATATTCAGCAGATATATTCTCATTGTGCCCAGAGAAATATCGGCCCTGCCTAGGATCGAACTCACAGCCTCCTGATTGTGAGGCGAGAACTCCACCTCTAGGCCACCCCACCACTCACAAAAATATATTTCTGATAATGACGTTTGATTAAAAAACAGTTTAATATCGCTAGTCCTGTATCATTCAGTCTTAAAGTGAAATGTTATGGGATATTGCTTGTAAGCCGATTGTCTATTTACAAATGTGCTTTTTCTTGTTCAGGACAAAAATCGCAGTCGGTTTCCCAAGTATTGATAGATGTAAACTATGATCAGCTGAACATTTTGAAGCAAAACGCTAAGGATTGTCTCAACTTATCAGGCACCAGCAAACTGTTGGATTCTGAGCAACTGGCCGTGTATCCTGACACTAAATGGCAACTGGAACGGAAGCAAAATAAGGTTTGTATTTACACATCTTCTGTGCCCTCGTAATGACATCGTAATTACCGTATTTTTTGGAGTATAAGACACACCTTTTCCCCCCTTAAAAGGGGGTGAAAATTTAGGTGCCTCTTATACACCGAATGTAGCCCCACCCACCCACTGGCCCCCACCTTTGGCCTCTGCCTCGCAGCAGTTACCTCCTTGCAAGCAAACAGCAAGAAGAAACAGTTCCTTTCAGCTTCAGCACAGCCTAATTAGCACAAGTCGATTGGATCGGCCTCCCAACTCTCAGCTGATTTGCTCTCAGCTGTTTTGCGCAGGGCCTCTGCTGCTTGCTGCAAGGAGGTAAATTGCTGGAGCAGATTTTTTTTTCCTTGTGTTAATCAAGCTATGCTGAAAACGAAAATGAAAGTAAAGCTGTTTGCTGCAACTAGACAAAATTGCTGGGAGGCAGAGGCAGAGGGAGATTTCTTTTTCTTCTTTTCCTCACCAAAAAAGGTAGGTGCGTCTTATACTCCAAAAAATACAGTAATTGAAAGTGAAGGTAATTCAGAAAATATTTCTGGTGAAGGAATAGATAATGGAAAATTAGGAAACATAAAGAAGGAAATCTGTTAGCATTTATCCCTTATTCATTCATTCATTCATTTATTCCTAATTACAGGAGTTACTGTGGTCACATGATCAAAATTGAGGGACTTGGCAACTGGCATGTACTTAGGAGAGTTGCAGTGGGTCCCAGGATCCACATTTGCAATCTTCCAAAGCGGCTTCCGACAAGCAAAACCAATGGGGAGACCTGGATTCTCTTAACAACTGTGGGGTTCACTTAAGGACCGTGGCCAAAAAAGTCATAAAATCAGACATGTCTCATTTAACCACATCGCTTAACGGCGGAAGCTCCAGTTCTAATTGTGGTCTTAAATCAAGACTCCCTGAATGAGGCTTTGACTTCTCAAAACAGTGGACTATTTTTTTTTAAGAACTATTTTTAGGTTACTTGATTCCTAGATTAAGAATGAAAGCAGGGCAGGGGTGAAATCCAGCAGGTTCTGGAGAACTGGTAGCAGAAATTTTGAGTAGTTCAGAGAACCGGCAAATGCCACCTCTGGCTGGCCCCAGACTGGGGTGGGAATGGAGATTTTGCAATATCCTTCCCCCAAGAGTGGGGAGGGAATGGGGATTTTGCAGTATCCTTCCCCTGCCACGCCCACCAAGCCACGCCCATAGAACCGGTAGTAAAAAAAAAATTGGATTTCACCACTGAAGCAGGGGAAATTGGAAGAACTTGGCATTTGGCTGTGAAAGAGCAGCTGAGAATGCTTATATTATATATTCTCCTTGGGTAAAGCAGAAACAGATGAAACGTTTTGATTTTCAGATGCACCAAGATATCTTCACAGTTCCAGCTGAATACCTGGTGATCAGTGCAGAAAATGAGGCAGCACTTTCCCAGTCCTACATAGCAAGTGAGTGCCAGAATCATGGGCCAGATTTATGGATGAAAATGGGTTGGCTTGGAAGTTTTTTCCCCCCTTAAAGCAGTATTCCTGATTTCTAACTACAGGTAGACCTCGATTTACAACAGTTCATTTAGTGGCTATTCAAAATTACAACAGCCCTGCAAAAAGTGACTTATGACCATTTTTCACATTGACGATCTTTGCAGCATCCCCAGGATCACGTGATTAAAATTCAGCTGCTCGGCAACTGGTTCGTACTTACGACCGTTGCTGTGTCCCAAGGTTGTGTGATCACCTTTTGCAGCCTTTTGTCGAGCAAAATCAACGGGGAAGCCATATTCACTTAAAAACCTTGTTACTAACTGATCAATTGCAGCGATTCCCTTAACAATTGTGGCAAGCAAGGGTAGACCTCCCAATGTTTCACTTAACAACATAAATTTTGGGCCTAATTGTGCTCATAAGTCAAGGGCTACCTGTATATAAGCACTGTTGTTAAACGTCACAGTTGTAATGGTAGTTGGCAAGGAGTGGCATAAGTCAGACTTGGAATTGAAGCTGAAATTTTGCTTGCACCCATTTTCCAGCTTATATAGGACGGCCAGACATGATAGTATAAATGGGCTAGATTTTAAGTACACAAGAACTTTTTGTAGTTTTTATTGAGGCACATCCTGCAGTCTTTAGCAATCAAGAAGTATGTACATCCTGTGGATTCAGTTATAGGAGTATCTCGTGGATAATTTTTCTTTTGAAAAAATCAAGAATAAAAAAAAAGTAAAGAGAATTGGATATACTTGGAAAACACTGGCTGCTAGCAATTTAAGTAGCTTTCTTAAATCAATGTTGGATATCACAAAAGTATAGGCTTGGACAAAACAAAGCAATTCCCTTGCTACGGTTGGAAAAATTAAGCTATATTGTATTCCTTTAATTTGTTCCTGAAGAACCTGCATAGTATGCCTTATTACCTATTTCGGATTCTAACATTGGCTGTTGCAAAGCCACAAGTCCCTAAATTTACTCGTGTGGATTGATCTAACGTAATATCCTTTGGTAGGGAGTGGGTGCTGATAGCTAAGCTCTTCTTTTTCTCAAGATACCCTTCAAGCTGTTCCTGAAGAAGCTGAAAACATTCAAGAAGATGACCGTAGTACTGTATCCTTTTTCAGTGGTGAGTACCATTGGCCGTCTCTGGTGAACGAGCAGGTGAATTGCTGCATTTTAAACTTCCTTTTTACAAAAGGGAATATTACCCCAAAGACTCAGGAATCAACATTCAGAAAAGCTTTCACAAAGGTTGATTAGCACAGGCCAATCAATATTTTGTAATTATCCTTAGTGCTTGATGTACTTTTTTATTCATATCTATGCCAAAGAAAGTCATTCTGTTTCTGTTCTCATCTTTTTTCTTTTTGCACTTTTATCTTTTTGCACTTTTTGATCTTTCATTTTTTCAATTCTTTTTTTCTGATTCATTCATCTTATCTATATCTATCTATCTATCTATCTATCTATCTATCTATCTATCTATCTACACACACACATATATACACACACATATAAATATACACATATATACACACATCTATACACACACACATCTATACACACATCCATACATACACATATATACACATATATATATATGCACACACATATATATGCACACGCACACACATATATATACAAACATACATATACATACATATATATAAAAGGTAAAGGTTCCCTTCGCACATATGTGCTAGTCGTTCCCAACATTTTTTACGTACTTTCGAACTGCTAGGTTGGCAGAAGCTGGGACAAGTAACGGGAGCTCACCAAATTTATATTTTGCTGATAAAGAAGTAAAGGGAGACTAGTATAGATATATTTCAAGCTTTTTAGCTTTCATCAGCTAGCCATACCCTTACTCGGATTCGAACTTGGGCTTCCTGCATGTTAGGCAACTGCCTAATTCAACTTCAAAGTTTGCACTATTGTATCTCCCAGAAAAAAAGTGATATGGATGGTTGCAGAATGATTTATATGGGCCATCTCCCTTAAGCCTTTAGGGACAGAGTTGCTCGAATATTACATTTTGCCATGCTTGCGCATACAGAGTGTCACGTGATTTCCACCTGCCCCTGTTTTTTACACTGTGTGTATCCTGTGTGATGTTTTTAGTTGCATTGACCGCCAGGAGGCACCATTCAACCAGGTTCTCTATCCCCCTCTTCCAAAGGAAATAGTGGTGACCTCATGTAAAACCTTGAATGTAGGGAGCATGACATAATGTGACATCTGTTTCTCTCTCTTCTCTGAGAGCCTAATGGACGACATAAAGTATAAGATATAATGAATAAATATATAGAGTATAAGGAGACCGTATGATAAGTCAGTTTGGTCTAGTGATTAAGGCACTGAGCCAGAAACCGGGAGACCATGAGTTCTAGTCCCATCTTAGATAGGAAAACCACTGGGTGACTTTGGGCCATTCAGTCTTTCTCAGTCCAACTCAACTCCCAGGACTGCTGTTTAGGGGGAAAATAGGAGGAGGAAGTAGTATTAAGAATTAGGTGCAGCTGGATATCAAATGAATAAAAGCAACAATATTGGGCTTGTGAATCCAGGCATTGTAATACAGACCAGCAATTCTTACTTTCAAAACCTAACACTGTTTATGAAGTCTATTCAGAAGACCTTCTTCCTAAATCAAATTTTGAATGAATTTAGGTGAATTTGCTTCCTATTTCTGTATTCATTCCGAACACAGGACAGTTTGCTTGAGATCCCGACAGCATTTGGGTCGGAATGGATTCCTATAATCCTTTGCAATGTTTGAATATTGCTGCTCTTTATGACCTTATTCTGACCTCTTCCACCTTTTTAAGGAATGTTGAGAGGAAGATGTTGATTTGCTTTTCTTTACATAGCAGATTCTGCAAGTTTGGATGGTTCGTTAGAAAATCCCTGGGATGCGGTTCCTGGAATAACCTTGAGCACCTCCAGTGGTGAGTGAGATCAAAAGCTAACCATCACCTTTCATAACTATTTTTCTATAACAATAGAAGCAAAACAACTGATCTTCTCTTCTCTTCTCTTCTCTTCTCTTCTCTTCTCTTCTCTTCTCTTCTCTTCTCTTCTCTTCTCTTCTCTTCTCTCCTTCCCTTCCCTTCCCTTCCCTCCCCTTCCCTTCCCTTCCCTTCCCTTCCCTCCCTCCTCTCCTCTCCTCTCCTCTCCTCTCCTCTTTTTTCTTTTCTTTTCTTTTCTTTTCTTGCACTTCGACAGATGCTTCTGGCACATCCCATGGCCTTCCCCAGATGCAGCAAATGCTTTTGGCCAGTCCTGCTGAAGAAACAAACCCAGACTCCAACACTTGCATCTCACATTTCCTGGAGCCTTGTGATAATACGCCTCGCCGTCGCTCCGAGCGCACTGCACCGCGGAAGTTTCCGTCGCTTTTTCATTTTCAGAACCGTGAATTTCTCATCGAAACGGCCAATCAGAAACCGGACCTGGTGACGTCAACCACATCAGGCCAGGCCAGCGAACTTGCAGACAGCCTCCCTTGTGGCCAGCCATTAAATAAATCCTACCTTCAGAGTTCTGGGTTTCCTTTTTCTCCTGTTCGTCATTCCAACGAGGGCGACTTCTCCTCGGAGCCGGTGTCTGAAAATAGGAAGGATTGTCCATCCCTTGCCCATGGAGATAAAGGGATGACAGATAGATGGAAATACTTTGAAGCTGAGAAATACATGTCAGCTCAAAGGAAACGGGTGCCAAATGAAGGGGAACCTTCTGAGGCTTCTACTCCAACTTGTAGTAGTAGTAGTCTGGAAGCTGTAGGGCACTGCTCTACTGAGACCGTTACAAAAACTAGTACTCCAAATAAGAGACGTGTAAATCGGTACCTTCCTTTAAAATTGTCAAGCACCCCCAAGAAAAGGCGGTTAGAGGAGATTCGGGATGAGCAGCCACAGGTGTTTGAGCGTTGCAGTTGCGCAGAGAGACAGCTGGAAGAAAGAAGCAAGCAGGAACCAATGGGAATCGTCACCAGGAAATCAAAGCGAATTCAACAAAAGGTAAATCTGCCATCTGAGCAGAGGAAAATAATAAATTTCTCTATAGCTTTGTTTCGTGACCAGAGTCAGAGTGGAATTAGAGACATGTTGCAAAGGGAAATATATTCAATCAGTAAAACATGGCCAATGCAGGTAATCCTTGACTTTGCCATAATTGAGCCTGGCAAATCGGTCGACTAGATTTTACCACTTTTTTGAGGTGGGTCCTTTAAGTGAACTCATTGTTTACTAAGGATGGATTTTTGCTAGGAATCGGAAATAAATCCTGGTTTTTCAGCAAAAACATCAAACATTCGGCGTTGTGTGGCCACAGGACACCTGCCAACGGCCATAAATGCTGGCTGGTTGCCAAGCACCCAAAATAGTTGTCCGAATTTCAGAATAAGATTGTAAGTACCTTTTTTTGGGGAGGGGGATGTCATTAATTCAAACATTCACTAAACCACTTGTAGTGAATTTAGGACTATTTGTAATTGGATCTGGTGAGAAACCATAGGGTGGCAACATTTAAACATAAGTTTTTCTCATTTGTGGAATGCCAGTCCTCAACTTACGACCACAGTTGAGCCCAAAATGTATGTTGCTGAGACATTTCTTAAGTGAATCACTGCAGTTGTTGAGTAAATCTGGCTTCCCCATTGACTTCGCTTGTCAGAAGCTTGCAAAAGGTGACCACATGACCCTGGGACATTGCAGCCGTCATAAATATGAACCAGTTGCCAAACATCCGAATTTTGATGATGTGACCATGGGGATGCTGCAATGGTCGTTAAGCATGAAAAACGCTTGTCTTTTTTTCCCCAGTGTAATGTTGAACGGTCACTAAGTGAGCTGTTGTAAGTCGAGGACTATCTGTAGTTGAATTTGGGTGGGACTTAAAGCACACTTTGGATATCTGGGGAAACCATATTGCTGATTTCTTACTCAACACCTTCTAACTCAGGGGTCAGCAACCCATGACTCTGGAGCCGCATGTGGCTCTTTCTTCCCTCTGCTGCTGCTCCGTCGCCAATCGGCTCCACAATTGATAGGGCTTTCGGTTAGGACAAGTAGAGGAAAAAGGACGCCACGCTAGGAGGAGACTCTATGGTGGGGGAACTGGACTTCCTGTCAGCTCCAGAATTGAATGGGAGGCTTCCGGTTAGGACCTTTGAGTGTTTAAGGTTGCCGACCCCTGTTCTAGCTCTTCTCTCATCCTCAAATTGTTCCAAAATAGTGATTTAAATATGACCAGAATTTTTAAAAACAACAAGGATTCATTTTGCTTCTCCCCCCCCCCCCCTCTCTCTCAGGAGAATGCAAAAGGAGACGGTTTTCACTTTATACGCAGCCCACCTACACCAGAGCTCTGCACTCAAGTGCAGTCTGTAAGGTTAGTCTCTTTCCTAGCTAGTCACACATATCATTTTATTTTATTTATTTTTGAATTTTGTATACCGCCCTACTCCCGAAGGACTCAGGGCGGTGAACAACCATAGAATAAAACATATAAATACAAAATTTAAAATAAAATAAAACGAATTAAATAATTTGGCTGAACAAATTTAAAACCCCAATAATTTAAAACCAAATTTAAAATTTCCATTTAAAATATTTATTTTATTATTAACAATCCATTTATGGAGAACAGTTTGTGCAGTGACTGCTGTTTTCCATAAAATCATGCTAATAACCTCACATTTTCGCTCCCGAGACCCAGCACATTTGAATATTTGCTTACCTTCAGGTCTGGTGCTTTTCATGTTTCTTGTTTTTGATCTCTCAGGATCTCAAGAGCATTACTGGGATGGGCACGCTGGGTTTTCAGCAACGCAGAGAAGCAATAAACTTCCCAAAGATTCCTTGATCTCAGGTTGAATTACCCTCGATGCTTTCGTTACGGTTTAAACTGTTTGGTTTTTTTATATATATATATTCTGTTTTTCTGAAGATAGATATGTTGTTCCAATTTCACTATACAGAAAAGAAAGGAACCCATCACCTTTTTTAATCGTAAGGTTGTTTGGATGTCTCGAGCAAAGATTCGCTTTGATTTTTGATAACAAAGATGTGCCACCTGCTTCTTTTAAGAATGACAGAATGACAATGCCATAAGACATAATGCACCTATTTATATAAACTGTAAGTGGGACTCAGCTATAAATGCAAACCTGTTTGTATGCTTTTGTTTCATAACTTGTTAAAATAAACTGGCAACCAGGTAAAGAGTTATTTTTAAGTACAGGGAAGCTAGTTTTTTTTTTTTTTTTTACAGTTGGTTGTAAATACAATGCAAAGAATTTTAGTCTTTAAAAGTTGACATATGGAAACTACAATTCCTAAGCTAGTGTGCCCTGACATACAAAACCTGTAATTTTATCTGCAACGAGGGATTTGCAGGCATTTTAAGGAGTGTATCCATTTTTGAAGTTAGAGAGGATGTGTAGCCTACGTGCCTTTAAGCTGAACCGTTTTTCTCCCTTAAGAGACTTACACTTTAGACCCTAACATGCTTTCATAGTTCAGAATTGTATTAAAAACTTCCTTTGTCTGTTCTCAGTCTACTATCAGTTTCATTAGATAACTATGCAGGAAAGCAATACTAAGTTTGTAGAGCATTTCAGGAGACAGATATATGCTATGTGTCATTAAGTAACTTGAGTGTGGCATCGAGAAAGACCATATGGAAGAAGGTAAAACATTCATTACGTTAATAGAAATACATCTAGTGAAATGCTACACAAATTAAACATTTCTTGCTGTAAGTGATGGTTTCCACAGCTGTATATATTTGTAAAAAAAAAAAAAGCCATAAAAGTAGTAAACAATTGTATGCCAACATCCATATGAATTAAAATGCTTATTTTTAATTATTTTTGTCATCTCCTCCTTTCATTTAATTACAAAATACTTCATATAGCTTACATGCTTGATAAAATGTTTTGAAAATTAAAACAAATTAGGAAAAATACAACAGCACAGCTCTTGATAAAAAATATACCTTGTGTGCCAATTTTCCAAATTCGAGCACAGTCACTCAAACATAGTTTGAAAGTTAAAATAAAATTCTGTGGTTCTTTGCTTTAAAATAAGGACCTTAATGTAAATAAGTTGGCTGTTTGTGCTAGAATATTTTTTTTAAAGATGCATGCAATAATCATCTGGTAATAGATGGCAGATACCCAAGTACAGTTACAAGGAGCTCAGCCCCCACTGAGCGTCTCTTGTGGTTGAGGATGATTGGTATTTGGAAATTATGCCAAAATGTTATCTGTGTGGAAACAGGTTTGTGTATATGTGGCGTTGCGCTAGTAGACACTGTCGTGCGAACTCTGCATCTGCGTATATCCTCCATTATCTCAACTGGTGTGGTTGGTTCATAATTCTTCCTTGTCTCAATCCAAATTCACCGATAGCCGGAAGCAAAAGCTTTTTTTCAGTCTTCCTAAAAGAATGCCTTCAGAGGATGGGATTTCCACGTTGGCTCTCAACTGAAAGCTGTATAACCTTTCCAGTCCTCTGGGAGAATATCACACAGATTAGCCGAGCACCCACATATTTTTTCCTTCCAGTGTCTTGAAAAAAGGCTAGTGGTGAAAGTACCGAATACTCTACGAAACAGCTGCATAACTATATTTAACGCAGTGTTTTAGTTGCAGGCTATCAGTGTGGAGAAATATGTACTTACCCTTTCGTCTATGTGCTAGTAGTGCTTCGGATGTAAGGAGCCGTTAACAAGTTAAGCGATTCATATTGTAAAAACTAACTATTTCCTAGAGCCTCCTTAAAAGCCAATGGATGGATTGGAGGGTAAGGTGTTTGCTTTAAGGGGAAGGCTGCAAATCCTGATTCGTGAGACAAGGCTACGGGCTAAGCGTCTTCACAATGAGTTTGAACAGAAATGCCAAGCTTGGTGTGATGCCCTCGCATCTTCCCACGATAGATGAAAAGTCTTCTCCATTCCTCCCATCTTCTCTTGCCACAGCAAAGCACTGCTCAATCTTGTAGCAATGTTAAAAGGGAGCTGAGAGGAGAGGCCTGATAACACCAGAATAAACGAGATGGGAACAATGGCAATTTCGAAGACTTAATCGTGGACAGGAGGCACTTGCGACCTCGTTTGGGTTAGCCTGGCTGAAAGCTGCTACGATGCTCAGTGTCCCTCCCACCTTCTTCACGCCAAGCCTTTCGTCGGTGCCGGCAAATATTTTGTTCTAGCATGAGAGTATTTTTCCTAGACTAGAAAAGGATGTGGACAGAAGGAAAGAAGACCTTAAGGACAAATATGGTATGGGATAGCAGCGGAGTAAGTTTGTTACGAGAGACATGTACCTGGTTTAACTGAGTGCCTGCTTTTAAACTCTCCTACAAACCACAAGCTAGCCTAGTCTCAAACTTCCAAAACATACAATACAAGGCAAGCAAGTTTAGTGTATGTAGAATAACCCCCCCATCCCGCCTGCTGGTGGTTCTCAGTTTCTGGCACTATAACATTTGTCACATCTGGTACCAACTGTACAACTTCCGCTGGAAAAGACCAGTTTCCTGCAGACTTTGAGATTTTGGCTTTTTCTCACACAAACCGTTAGAATACTGGGCACTTGGATGAGCGTGTACAAGGATGAAAAGATGAAACGAGGCGATCCAGAAAGACGTGCAGGAGATTAGATGCCATTATCCATCACTGGAAATCCCAGTTCTTACAGCCAAGGAGCGATGGGAGGGCCGGTCCCTTGTTCATCCTTGTACCAAAGAACTCGGACCCTCGCCCGCTCGGCTGTTGCTTCAAACCGTAAGCCTTCACTCTGTCCTCCCTTCAATGGAGCGGCCATCATGCAGAATCATTCAATGCTCCTGTATTGGAGACTTGGAGAGGGGCACAGCAGTTCTTTGGTCTAACGCTGTATTTTGTGCGTTCTTTAGAGTTTGTTCTATAGCTTCGGGCAGCTCTTCTTCTGTTTCTGCTCTTGAGTCGGAGGCAACTACATTCTGTTCTTGGGGAGGGCCTAGAAGAAAGTCACCGCAAATGGTCAACACAACTGGATTGATTGACAACAGCCCAATTCCCAGAAGCAAGAGGACCCCAAGAAATCAGAATTGAGAGAACTTCTAGTCCCGTGATGGCAAACCTATGGCACGCGTGTGGGCATGCGCACCATCACTAGCTGCTGTTTTGGCGCACGCATGAGTGCCAGCCAGCTAGTCTTCCTGTGTGCCGGAGCACCGGAAACCCGCTGACCAGCTGGTCTTCGGGTTTCCAGCGCTCTGGCACGCGCATGCACATTCCGGTTTGGGCACTCGGTACCAAAAAGATTTGCCATCACTGCTCTAGTCCCTCATGCAAAAGATGTTTTAATGCTCTTCAAACAACATAGGCACTAAATGGAGGTTGGCTGAGCATCGTAAATTCTATGTGATTCTACCCCTAAGCTTTGATTATGAGCCGCTGAGGTGCAGTGGTTAGAGTGCAGTACTTCAGGCTACTACTGCCGACTGCCGGCTGCCAGCAGTTTGGTGGTTCAAATCTCACCAGGCTGAAGGTTGACTCAGCCTTCCATCCTTCCGAGGTGGGTAAAATGAGGACCCAGATTGTTTGGGGGCAAGAGGTTGACTCTGTAAACCGCTTAGGACTGTAAAGCACTGTGAAGCAGTATTTAAATCTAAGTGCTATTGCTATTAATGATCAAATTTGTCCTGTCCTTAAACTTTGGAATGAACGCGGGAGATGTTTACAATTCAGAAGATGAGTTTACATCTAGGAGGAGTAAAGTTGGGGTACTTCTCTCTCTCTTACCTAGAGAATCCAAGGGTGCAGACAGTCCAGTCTCCAACAGCAACTTGGGCTTAGTCTTCCATTTCAGAATAGGGGAGCGTTGCAAACAAAGAGGGATTTTTGCATCTGTAAGGAATACAGGCCATGTGTCAACTTGCAAAGCTGTCAAGTTGCCATGAGCAGGAGGGAGGGAGAACTGAAGTGCATTCCATACATTCTTCCTGACCGCAATCAGAAGGAGGGTGTTGGATTTCACAGCCAGCCAAAGTGGTTAATTGGAGAATGTGATTTATGACATGGCCAGAGAGGAGGGGAGAGACAGGGTCATAGGGGAACGTAAATCTACGTGGGATTAGTTCTAACTGCATCCGAATATTGCTGAAATGGTGCTCCTAATAAATGACTGTATTTCTTTTGAAGTTTGGCTCATGGCTCATGAATTAATTAGGGCAACTTTTGGAAACTTCACAGCAGTATTCCAGTATTTGAGTGGTTGCCGCAAAGAGGAAGGGTCAACTTATTTTCCAATGCACCCAAGGGCAGGAGTAGAAACAATAGATGGAAACTAATCAAGGAGAGAAGCAACTTAGAACTAAGGAGGAACTTCCTAACAGTGAGGACAATTAACCAGTGGAAATCCTTCCATTTCCCCACCATCCAGTCAGACCTGAAGAAGCTTCTTGGATGAGAAGCGAAACGTCTTCAAAGAAACACCAGAAAGTCCAGTTGCCTCTTGAAAAAAGCACCTTTGGGACAACCAGAACCTGGATGACTGAAAATCTCCATAGATACCAAGGAATTACCAAGTTGGGCAAACAAGCTAATAGCAAACCTAATCAAGGAACTAGCAAGAACACTCCCACCAACACTGACAGGGCAAACCACTGGAATATAAATCAAGGGCAAACCCCACTCTCTTCTAGCACTGATGATGTTACCTAGTGGGGTAATGAAACGTCTGCAAGGAAACAACCAAGCTCAGAGAGTACCAAGGACCCCTCAAGATCACCGCTGTTTAGATCCAAACTGGCTTAATGTTTAATAAAATAGCCTTGCCACATCCAAACATACCTTCACATACTGTTGTGGCCCGTCAGCGGCCTGTGCGGATTGTAGCTGATTCTGACAGCGAGGAGGCTGGTGTTGTGTTGTGCCAGCAGCCTGTGCAGCTGGCATTCGAGTCGGACAATGAGGAGGCTGGAGAAGATGTGGTGCCAGAGGTGGGGATTCAGCCAGGGCCTTCAGAACCTCCAGAAGCTACCATAAGTGAAGAGGAAGAAGAGGAGGAGCCTCTTCTCGATGCACGGGCGCGCAGAGCTGCCACAAAGGCAGGAGTGGCTCCTCAGGAAGAGGTCTCCTCGAGAGTAAGGCTTGGGGCTAATTGGCCACTCCCTTAGCCTATTTAAGGAGGAACGCCGACTGAAGCAATTTGTAGGGAACAACTTTAGTTCACTCTACTTCACGTCTGGATTCTCTGCAAAATTGCTTCTGGGCTTTCTGCCAACCTTAGTAAGATTGTGATTACTTTATCTTTGGTTCCTTGTAGGCTGTTAAGAAAGTTTATTAACAGCCTTTGTTTTGAAAAAGACTGAGTTATTTTAGTAAATTAAGTTTTGTACAAACTTTGTGTGTGCCGTGTTCTTTGGGGTCCGTAGCTGGGGCAGAACACATACAGACTAACCAAGGTTTAGTCATGCTAGTTTTCTGTCCTCTGAGTCCTCGCTTGTGTTCTTAACGACCCCACAGTACCAAATTTCTTAACCCAAACAACCAATTCGGCCACCAAGAATTCTGGGAGCTAAAGTATACACATCTGGAATAATTGCTCTGCTGGAAAAACACCACTTTAACTGATGTGCCGAACTGTTTATCGACAGCATTAAATTTAGGGAAGCAAGGAATGGCTTCGGTGGTACCTGCAACTTTGCCTTGACTTTGGATTCCACATTTTCATACTTCTGGGACTTCCACAGGGCTTTCACCGGCTTGGGTTGACTCAGCTGCCGAGCTTGTTCTTTCTCTCGACACTTCCGCTGGATCTCTCTCATGCGCCTCAGATTCTCCTTCTCGTGGTCTTTGTGATCCCTGCCTGCACCGAAGGGGGGAAAAAAAGGCTGCTTGGGATGTCCTCTGAAGGCATCCTGGCCATAACTGCTCCGCAGAGCAGAAGAAAAAGAGCAGGTCTGAGGAACCAGTTGGCAGCTTAGACAAAACTCTACCAACATCTGTAGAATCTTGCTGTCCTTCACTTACGTTTGGGCCTCAGTTCTTCAAAGAAGGAGATCTCGTCTAGCTTCAGGAGAACTCCTACGGTGCCCTTTTGTCCCTTCTCCAAGATGTCCCTGGCGTTGGGCTTAATCCGTGGAGGAGGTTGTGAGCAGCGAGCGCTGTAGCACCCAGGATAGAGGCTGAACTCAGGCGGGATGGGGCCAGGAAGCAAATCCAATTTCAGGGAGTTTCCTTCCAGCCTTCCTCGGGCTAAAGACACAAAAAAGAGAAAAATCAGGAAAAGGTCAGTGGCTTAAGAACAGAACGAGCGGCTTTGGCTGCAGAAAATTCTCAGAATCCTCAAGGACGGGGAGCAGGAAAAAGACATTAAATGCACAGTTAAAAAGTGCCATACAGACGCTCATCCAGATTGGGCATAATGGACGTTTCAATTCAGCAGTTTGAAAGGTATCCTTTTGGAGAAAGGAAGTGTGGAGAGTACACTCTCAGCTAACTATCCAAGAGATCCCTCCGTTGTGGTCCATCGGCAGCCTGCGGACCTGGCAGCAGAGTCGGACAGTGAGGAGGCTGGGGAGGAACATGGGCCAGTCCTGGAGTCTGGGGAAGGCTCGGATGAGGGCTCTGCGTCCGAGGCAGAGATAGGGTCAGGGCCATCTGGGAGTTATGTGCTGATTCCGGAGCCTCCAGAGTCTGACGTCAGCGAGGCAGAGGAAGAGGGGGAGCCTGTTCCCAGTGTGCGCATGCGCAGAGCTGCCAGAAGGCAAGAACAGTTAAAAGAAAACGGACAACTCGGGAGTAAGGCTTGGAGATGATTGGCTCCTCCCATAAGACATAAAAGAGGAGCAAAGGCACATGAGCCTTTGCAGGAAGCAACTTTGTTCGTGCTGGTCAGTTTAAATTCTGAAGCTCCGTTTTGACTCTGTGCTCCCTGTGGCCTTGCAAAGCTAATTACCAATTAAGTCTTTGGCAGCGTGCCAAGGGAGATAAAGGTGGGTGCTTATCAGCCTTATCCCGAAGGACTGTGGCAGACTTCTGTCGGACTCTTTACGAACTATTTGTGACTCATTATGGCTGGGAATGAACTTAATTTACAGCCGTTGAAATAAAAAGAGGGTTTTTGGAACTAATCATGTGCTTTTTACTGTCTCGGGGAGCCTAGGTCAGAACACTCTCCATTGCACAATGGATGTAGGAAGGTAAAGGTAAAGGCTTCCCTTGTCCAGTCGTGTCTGACTCTAGGGCAATTTGCTCATCTCCGTTTCTTGGCCGAGGGATCCAGCATTGTCCGAAGAACATTTTCTGTGTTCATGTGGCCAACATGACTGTATGCTGAGGTGCACGGAATGCTGTTATCTTCCCACCGAAGTGGTACCTATTTATCTACTCGCATTTGCATGCTTTGTGGGCAGGAGCTGAGGCAAGGAACGGGAGCTCACCCCATGCTTGGGTCTCGAACTGGGGCTGTTGGTTTTCCAGATGAGAAGCTCAGCGTCTTTAATCGCTGAGCCATCGCGCCCCTTTTGGATGTAGGAAGACAAACATGCAACCTGCAGATGGAGGACAGGTTTATTGTGGTGAACAGACTTCATAAGAATTCCAGTCATAAGCAGACACTGACCTGATAGCGGGCGTCTGTAATAATCCGGACATAGGGTAGGATCCGGAGGAATGGGACCTGTGATCCTGGAGGGACCTTCCGACATCTCAACCTTACTTCGTAGATTCTAACCAGGAATGGCAAAATCTCATCTTTCGGGGGAACCTGTTGCAAATAAGAACCAAGTTTGCTATGGAGCCATGGATAATGTGCGAGTGGGTAGCTGGAAGGAAGAAGTTTAGAAGAAGAAAAAAAATGCAATCATCAATCACTGTATCCAGGGGTGGGATTGAAAAATTTTAGGAACCGGTTCGCTGCCTGGTTGCTGGGTGGGCGTGGCCATGGGGTCATGACCTACTCACCGTGGCTTCTGCCCCACGGTGAGGGGGGGCATTTTAACCCTCCCCAGGCTCCAAAGGCTTTCCTTGAGCCTCCAGGAGGGTGAAAATGGCTTCCCTCGGGCACTTCGGAGGCCGGAAATGGACCCATTTCTGGACTTCTGGTAGGCCCGTTTTTCACCTCTGAGAGCCTCTGTGCGGGCCCTGCACTTACCTCGCATCCAAAACAGGCCACGTGGAGACTCCTGGGAGGGACGAGGCGGGAGGGGCGGGGTCAGCCAGTCCTTGTAACTACCTGTTTGGCGAACCAGATTTAAAATTAATATCCGGTTTGCCCGAACCGGCTGAATCCCAGCCCTGACTGTATCATTAAGGAGTGAAAATGTCAGGCACAAATTAGATCTATTTCTCTTCCCTTCTATTGTATTATTCATACATTTATGTGTCTCAATCATGCCCAGAATAGCAAATGAACCTCCTGTGGTCCTCCAGATGCAGCTCAATCCAATATTCACAAGTTCTAATCCTGATAACAGACTCGGGAACCATTCTTTAAAGCTAGGAATTTCCTAAAACAATCCACGTCAACGTCGGTTAACACGGCATGGGTCCAAACCAAATCGGTCGGGAGCCTCTTTCTCAAGTAAAAAGCATGCCTCGCATTACGACATAGCAGAGGGACGTCAAAACCTTGGTAATCTGTCTCCAACGAGCAGTTACAAACCCATCACAGATATCAGCATATCTGTGATGGGTGTATCTGTCAGCGAAGATCAGAAATCTGCCTGTGCGGTTTAGACAGGCATGAAGACAGCGAGCAAAACCGCAGCAGTCTCTGAACTTCCCTTGAAACATCCTGAAAGCCAATTTTAAATATCTTTCATGCCTTCCTCGTACCTAGAAGCAAAAAGGCAATCAGACAATTCCTGGTTTTGCATAGCTGGCTGGCACAGTTATCAGGCCAGTCTCAGCATTAGCAGCCAATTGCTTTTCTCTCTCACACAAAGAGGAGGAGGAGGAGGAGGAAGAGAAGAAGGAGAAGAAGGATTAACGCTTGGCCTCCTTCCAGGCACAGCATAGAGATGTTTATTCTGTCAGCTTGGAGGGCAAACGGCTGTTTTAAGAGCCAAGTTACTGTACAAACAGACAGTTGGGGAGGCTGTTTGGCTTGAAATCATGGGACTGCGAGGATCTAAAAGGAGACGGAAAAGAGGCCCTTTCGTAACGGATGTTTGGAAGGCGGGTGGATCCAACCTGGGAAACCTGCTGGGAAGGCCAACTTTACACTGGTGTAAGAAAAATCCCCTAAATATCCTAGCAGGAACCTTGACTCAGATAAGCTGATGGTTGCAACAGGAGTCCTGACCTTGCAAAGGCTAATGGGTGCATTTGGAATCTTGAGACTAGGTTGCAGTTGGCGGGGAAAACTGACCTGGTTTGTTATGAGACAGGTAGAAAGCACAGCTGCACAGGTAGTCAGTCCTCGATTTACAACAGTTCACTTAGTAACCGTTCAAAGTTACGATGGCAACTGAAAAAAAGGTGACTCATCAACATTTTTTTCACATTCATGATCATTCTAGCATCTCCAGGGTCACGTCATCAATGTTGTGGTCTGCCCGCAGCCTGCGAAGCTGGCAGCGGAGTCGGATAGTGATGAGGCTGAGGAAGAACATGGACCAGTCCTGGAGGCTGGGGAAGGGTCAGATAAGGGCTCTGCGTCGGAGGCAGAGAGGGGGCCAGGGCCATCGGGGAGTGAGGTGCGGACTTTGGAGCCTACAGAAGCTGACAGTAGAGAGGCAGAGGAACAGGAGGAGCCTGTTCCTAGTGCACGTATGAGAAGAGCTGCCAGAAGGCAGGAGCAGCTAAAGCAGAGAGGACAACTCGGGAGTAGGGCCAAGAGATGATTGGCCCCTCCCATAAGGCTTAAAAGACCAGCAACGGCTCTTTGCCGGAAAACAAGGTTGAGAGAATTGCTTCTTGTTTCACTCTATTCATTTCTTGTCGGCATCTTCTGCTTCTGAACTTTTGCCAAGAGAAGCCTCTGGCAGTTTGCCTAATTATCTCAAGGTCGGTGATAAACTGAGGAATGGTGTTTTGAAGAATTTGCTTTCATTTAGTTTGGACTACGCTGAGAATGAGTTAATTCTCAGCTGTTCTAATAAAGTCTGTTTGTTTTCGGACTGTTTGCATTTAATGCTCACTACCTGGGCCTGGGTCACAACAATCAAAATTCAGGTAGATGCTTGGCGATTGGTTCACATTTATGATGGTTCCAATGTCCTGGGATCACGTGACCAGCTTTTGAGACCCTCTGACAAGCAAAGTCAATGGGGAAATCCAGATTCACTTACCCACCGTGTTACTCAGTCACTAAATGCAACGATTCCCTTAACAACGGTGGCAAGAAAAGTCACAAGATGGGGCGAAGTCACTTAATAAATGTTTCACTTAGCAACATAAATTTTGGGCTCAACTGCGGTCGTAACTTGAGGACTACCTGTACCAGCTACCCTTTCTTCCCTGCTTCTTCCTCCTGCAGCACACTCTCTCTCTCTCTGCCACCTCTGCTAACACAGGTAAGTCTTTGATTTGAGGAGGCTCAGCAGAAGCACCTCACTGAGGACTAGGAGCATAGGCTTTCCAAGCAGAGGGAAGACCTGCGGGAGTGCAAGGCCAGGTACTGGCACCTGGAGGCTCAGCGGGCTGAGATGGTCAGCCACTTCCAGGCCATGATGCAGTCCCACTGGAACAAGGTCCTCCGGCTCTTCGCCACCAGTGGCAATTCCCTCCAGCCTTCGCCCAAAGCCTCCCACCAAGAGGCCGAAGCAGACCCCAAGTCGGAATTTCTGTCCCCCTCCGACCCACACAAAAAAGACCCCAAAGGGGGAGACTCTCTGCAGCAACACAAATGTTCATTGCACATATCCAGCCCAGGGTGCATAGTTTGAGGACCCCTGATTTAGTGCAATATAAAAAATGCAAATAATTTTTCTCGTGGACCACCAAAATTTTCTCGCGGACCACCAGTTGCTGACTGCTGTCCTAGACAAAGCCAGGATCAAAAACGCCAGGGAATTTCTAGAAGCCTGGCACTCTGGTCAAATTAGCCATCGACAGACACATAGACATTAGCAACATCTATAGACTATGCAAAGGAGACCATCAACGAATCCAAAAGGGAACAAAAAGACTCAAGCACCTCTCCACCAGCAATCAGCACCCAGATCAGGGTAGATTAATTCCAAGGTTAACATCAGACGAACAATCAAGCAACTGACAAAGAAGTCAACAGCAAACAGCCCAACCAAAGAATCTCTAAAATTACCTGCACAGACAGGGCAAGCCACCAGAATATAAACTGACAGTAAACCAAACTCCTTACTACGGTTAGCACTGATAATGTTACCCACTTAAGCTAATGAAACGTCTACACGAAAACAAGCAAGCTGTAAATATTTTCTATTTTTACTCTCTGATTATTGGTGTGTGTATATATATATATATATATATATATATATATATATATATATATATATGTGGATATTTTGGTGATGTTACACCATGATGATGATGATGATGATGATGATGATGATGATGATGATAATAATAATAATAATAATAATAATAATAATAATAATAATTTTATTTCTATACCGATAGAAAAATTATTATACATTTTTTTTGATTTTTTTTTTTGAACTATAACAAAATGCTCTAATAATTAAAAAAAGAAAGAAAGAAAACAAGCAACCTCAGAGACCATCAAGGACGAGCCCAGAATCAGTCAACAAAAGAACTCACAGCGTCTTGCATTTTTATGTTTCATATCCCGATCTCAATGACCGGATCAACGAAGATAAGACAATATATTCCAGTCATAAAAAAACATGCTAGCAGCAGAGTTTTGCCAAATTCTCCTGGTCCAGATTTTTATTTTATTTCATTTTTTTATTTTTATTTATTTTTATACGCCGCCCTTCTCCGGAGACTCAGGGCGGCTTACAATGTGTTAAGCAATAGCCTTCATACTTTTGTATATTTTATACAAAGTCAGCTTACTGCCCCCACAAACCGGGTCCTCATTTTACCCACCTTAGAAAGGATGGAAGGCTGAGTCGACCTTGAGCCTGGTGAGAATTGAACTCGCAGTCATTGCAGGCAGCTGGATGTTAAATGCTGCCTTAGTAGGAGGCATTAGCCTCCTACGCCACTCAGGCTCCCTAGATATCTAGGGAGACCTTGGTTGGCTCAGGAAAACTTAGCTGGTATGGTTAGTTTAGTTTATCATTCAGCATGTTTGAATGAAATGCAGCCCCTTGAGCGAACTTAGCAAGTGACACAGAGAGAGAAAAGAAATGCAAAGAAGGAGGAACATTGCAAACAGTTGCAAACTTTCATCCTTGGCCCCTCTTTCTCTCCTGGCATCTGAAGGACGCTCAAAATGAACCACCACAACATCTGGGGGGGGGGGAAATCCTGAACACGTGACACAATAGAACAACTGTAAAGATTATTAAATTTGTCTGCTCCCCCCCCCACTCTCAACAACTCTGGGTACCTCAAAAAGTCCTGCAGAGCCTTGGTAGTACAGGGGTTTAAGGCACCCTGTTATTAAGCTGGTTATTAAGACCAGCTGCCTGCAATTACTGCAGGGTTCGAATCTCGCCAAGGCTCAAGGTTGACTCAGCCTTCCATCCTTTCTAAGGTAGGTAAATTGAGGACCCAGTTTGTGGGGGCAATAAGCTGACTTTGTATAGATATACAAAAGTATGAAGGCTATTGCTGAGCACATTGTAAGCCGCCCTGAGTCTCCGGAGAAGGGCGGCATATAAATCAAATTAAAAAAAAATAAAAAAAGTGCAGGAGCTCAGTCCGGATTCAGGTTTTCCCCATCACCACCACCACCACCCCAACCCAGGTGGCTGGAGGGTCCTGGGACCACCAGTCCTGTTTGCAGTCCTACCTCGCGGGGTTGTTGTGAATAAGACATTGCAAAGCCAGGCATCTCGATTGCAGTTCCAGGGGAGGGGAAATGCAAAACCCACGTGTCGCGAGCAACCAAACCCCCCCCTCCCTCAATTGCCACCTTCCACCCTTCCAAGCCCAGGGAATCCCGCTTCCAGCTCCCCCCCCCACCCCGAAGGACCCCCATTTCCCCCCCCCATGGACCCCGCCCCCCCCCCCCCAGTGCATGCCAGCCCAGCCCCCCCCCATCTTTGGAGCAGCCAGCAACCCCCCCCCATCTTCCAGGCCCCCCCCAGGCGCCCTCCCGCGTCCATCAAGCCCCCCCCTCCCCACTCACA